CGATAATCCAGTTGTCTGCATTGATGTCACTCGTATCGCTTACAGCAAGGACCATCTTGCGCTTCCTTTCTTGCTGCGCTGGACGTGTCTCGCTCGCCCTCTTGTTATCTTGTCAGAAAAGTTCGAGGACCATGCCGCCACCACCGCTGCCATTGGTCGGCTGGCCGCCACTACTTTTTCGTTCCGAGCGGCAGTCAGCTTGCAAGTGTCCCACCTTACCACGGCCTTAGCAGGTTCGTAGTTCTTTCTGCTTTGCATCGACGTGTGCAGAGACGACTCCGCGTCCGACTACACCGCTGCCAAGCTCAATTGACTTCGCAAAGTGCACCAGATCTTCTGCATGGCGCAGGTAGTCAGCACTGCGTTGTATCGTACTTGGCGCGCATGACGTTCATCAGCTCAGGCGACGCGTGATGATACTGTCCAGCATATACGAGTTTGCGCCTCTGCGTGCATCACTGACAGCCACCATGTAGAGGTAGTAATTGGCCCACGTGCGCTTTGAGTCCTTCATCAGCATGAAGATTTTCATGAACTGGTGAGCTGTGATTGTCGACTTAAACGTTGCAAGAAGCTGAAAGGGACGGAAGGGTCGGTCAAACGCGTGCAAGAATGGGCAAGTACGAAGGTACGTAAGGGTCGGTTAAGGGCGTAAAAGGAAAGAAGAAGCGAGAACATGAAACTTAAGGCGCACTCGAGGAGGATTGTTGTAAGGTGAGCGTGTATGGTGGTGCTGGGGGACGGATTTGTGGTATCGGGGAAAGACACGTGAATATTCGATTGGCGCCTTTTCGTACATTGTCACGCCTAGTCTGCGTAAGTAGTTATTGAAGTGGGCTAGCAGCCAGACATTGAGGAATAGTTGGAGCAGAGGGCGTAGGACATAGGATACTATAACATGCTAATACAAAATTAGTCAACGACCAACGAAGTGCTTGCAGGAGCTGCTCGAAAAAATCACATCGGTCTTTACAGTCACAACAGTGTTTCGATAGCAGCCAATAGTATGCTCTGTTGTGTGGATGGAACGTTGTTCTTGTCAATTGTTTTAAGCCTCATGTTTTTCGTTATCTTTGCCCGTTCCTGTCAGATCATATTAATATATCTGTCAGCTTTACGTTTGAAATATCACAGCAAACATTATCCTGTTGATGTCACCCACTATCGCTGGCGGTGTAACCGACCAGATATATCGAAGGATGAGGAGGTTGGATGGGAGCTAGCGCAAGGGCCATGAATGACAGTAGACATACTATAATGGCTACGATGTCAGAAACGAAATGGTTTGAGTCACGTATAGTAGTAATAAGCTACTATGTATGTATATAAACAATTTAAGCCAGCCGTATTGCCACCGAAGTGGTTCAGCTATCGCATGCGTCAGGTCGTCTCTGTTTCTCTACATTTCTCTCTACTCTCGCCAGGGTCCATTAAGCAGCGCGCGCCACAAGCGCCGCGCTGAAGGTCGTCTAGGCTGCACGATCCTGCATACATTGGCGAAGAAAGTACAGGTCTGAAGCCAGTCGACGGCGGTGTTCAACGTGGTTTCTTGCTTAATTCCTTGGGGGTCTATCTTACCTAAACGTAGATGCCGGGACTTTAGGGCTTCCGGCGTGGCGGCGTACATCGTGGCGGCGTACATCGTGGCGGCTTAGCTGGCGGCTGGGGGGAGAGCGACCAGATAGGGGTGTGTAAAGGGAGAGAAAACCCGTTTAAACTGACGGATGCCGCGAAGCACTCGTTGGAGGTATGAGCTAGCATCAGCTAGCCCAAGCTTTCCGGGAGAGCTGTACCCCAACCCGACCAGGATACTTCTCAATTTACTCCCTCGGGCACACATTGTTCCCGAACCCTCCCCTGTTTTTGTCTCCCGTCGGACAACTACCGCCGCCTTTGGAGCACTCTTTGCGGAGCGCTGCTGTCCACCCATATCGTCGCCTCCACCAGTTTCTCTTTGCGGAGTCTTTGGGACTACGTTACGACGCTACTGCCCGCAGACAGTTAGACGCTTTCAGTTTAGGCTGCTAGCTCATCGCTGCTGTTGTACTAGCTTGCGCTAAGTTTTCTCCGAAAGGAATCGACTGGGTTGTCTATAACTAGCAGAACTGCTATCATCGTAGTGTGGTTATTGTTGAACGCTAGGCCGTTCTGCAGTATTCACTGTTATCCTCTTTCAGCTAACTTCTTGTTGACTGAGGCTACGTTGTTAGCAAGCTACTAGGCTGCACAGACTACTTTGTCCTGGTATTGAGCTACTTTCGACTTGAGTTTGTTTCGGTGCTCTTGCATCCGAATTGCAGTTGAAACTTCCCTCTATTTTCACGTCGCCGCCTCACTTGAGGATGGCAGTCACACGTACTTCTCCCGTTAGCACGCCTTCGCAGGCGGCTACGGCTTCTAGGGCGGCTCCCACCCCGCCCCCACGTTCTGTTCCCGATGACTCCTTTTTCGGGCGAGTCTTCAGCGGTTCAATGACGTCCACTCATCCGATGTGGACCGTCGCTTTGCTGCTAATGCGCCACTACCTACCCCTGTGGAGCCTGAGCTATGTACCCGCATGTGGATCCCTGCCAGTCGTTTAACGGCCGAGCATAATATTCACGAGATTCTTGAATCTCTTGCGGCTGAAAGCCAACCATCTGTCTGGCGCCAGTCCCGCGCCCATCTTCGGGATTTAAACCGTATCCCTGGGCATGGTATCTCTTTCGTTTGCACGTCAGACGATGCTCTCCGCCGCCTTGGCGAAGTGCAGCTTACTATCTGTGGAATCACGGTTACTATTCGCAAGTACTCTAGCTTTGACAAGCTTTACTATGTGGATCTGCAGCGTTAACCCGCTGATGTTACTGACTTGGCGGTGTATGACTGGTTTGTTGCCCGGGGTGCACGCCCGGACTTGATCACGCCCGGACTTGGTCACGCCTACCCAAGTTTTTGGGGAACTTAACTCAAGGTCACGGACAGTCTATTTCCATTCTGTCGCCTGCCCATCCTCCCTCTTTGAGCCGAATGGCGACCCACTTAGGTAAATTCATTTTCTTGAGGGGAAAAGCCATGTTTTGTTTAACATCGGCTTCAACGGTTCAACCGCGTTCGGCCGCCTTCCGTCCGGCCGCCTGTTCACCCTTCATCACCTCGCTCTGACGCCACTATGCGTAGCGACGACGGCGCCACTACTTCGGATGAGTTGCCGTCCATTGCGGACTCTGTTCCATCCATTTCCTTGCCTACCCCTAGCCCGTCCCCGGCTATGTCAGTGGTACGGGCCATACCACCACCAGCTGTTCTATCTGGCTCTACCAAGGACAGGCTCTTTATCTTGGGATCAGTTGCTACTGACGAACCTATGTGGAAACTAGTTTAACACTCTCATTATGGGATCATTCATCGGGCAAGTTCTTGAACCTCCACGTGCTGTGCCGTGCCGGTTGTATGAAGGTCCAGATGATCCCCGTTCACTACTTTATTCAATTCCCGTCATGCCCACGATGTATGACGTCCTTTACGACGATGGTTATGACACATCTCTGCCTCCTGATGTGGATATTAACCCGTCTGAACTTAACAGAACAGGCTTCGAATTTTTACTGAGGACTCCGACCTTGTGCCTGCTCCGAAGGCCATCCGTTCTCTTATGAACACACGGAAGTTGCCTTTACGGATTGAGCAAGTCTCGGTCCGTGAACTCGAACACTTCATTGATGAGTACTTGGCCGGTGAATTCTCGTCGTTCACCTCCCACGATGATGCCCTCGCCGCTGTCCAGGTCCAGCCGGCGTACTTTCGTCGCCTATTTAGGTTACCTGTGGCGTATCAGACTCGCCTATTCAAGAAGCATGCTGCCTATCGCTCTGTGAGTGCGGAGCCTCTTCAACCGGGCGAGGTTGGGAGCGCCGCCACTCGTCTTACCCAGGGTTTCGCAGTTGACTCTATAGACGTCGAAGGCACCTTCGACAGTCTCTTTCGTACCGATAAACGCAAGCTCGCGGCTCTTTCTAGCGCGACTTGTGATTTCTTTTTGATGATCTTTGCACCAGCAATTTACGTGGATCCTTTCAAAGTCGCCGCCTTTTTACCCGGACATGCTGTCCCTAAGCGTATCCGCCACTCGTCGTTCCCCCTTTGGAGCGATATTGTTCTGCTTTATTTGGCATGGACGGATGTGGGCGGACTATTTATCTCTGATCCACGGACACCTTCCCATGTGGTAGATGCTATCCATTATCTCGCCAATGCCGCGCTCCCCAAGTCCGCGGCGACCGGGTGTTCCAGTCTTGTGCGTCCCCGACTATAAGTTGAAGATTGCGCTTTCGCTCTTACTATCTGGATACATCAATTCTCCCCCCCCTTCTTGCTTATGGTTCTCTACGCTGCCTGCCTCAAGCTTACGACCCAGCATCACTGCAACGACTTCCCTCACCCGCTTCCTTCGCTTTTCTTGCACACGTTCAAGCTTCTAGGGAATTTTAGCCTGTACATCACAGCTCTTCCGCACACACCCTCCTTGCAAGTGCCACCTCTTCTTTGGACTCGACTCTCAGCTAAGTCGTACTCCTACTTTGGTCTTTCTATTTAGTTTTCGCTGTCATTCTACTTAGATCTCGACTGTTTATACTTATCATCAACATCTAATACGTTAGGTAGATTTTTTAAAAAAGTTAATGAAATCACTTTGCCCAACCCGACCAGGATAAGATACTATGATGTATGATACAGAAAAGAGGATTCTTAGCGTTTCTTATGCTTCTCATGTAATCATAACTCGACCAGACAGCTGGCAAGTCTACACGTCTGTAGCTATGTGCGTATTACAATTGAAAGCTGCAATAATATGATGGATCAAGGCTCAAGCAATAGCATACTACATGCTGCTATTTATTCGTGTGAAACTCGATATCATGCGCCGTAAACATCTATCACAAGGCTACTGAATAAGACAAATGATTTACCATCTTTTTGTCATAAAGATTCTTCATTTTTATACAAACGTACGGACTGATATGATTGCCGCAAAGGCGATCGTATTAAAGCCAAAAGTGTATGGCGCTATCTTTGACATGGATGGTACACTGCTAGATACAGAGGAATTGAGTCGTCTTGCTATTGATGGTATCGTACGTCAATTTAATAAGGAATTTACCATGGCTATGCACAAAACGATCCTGGGTCGTCCTGCTGTCGAATGGACACGCATGGCAATTACGGCCACTGGTCTTAGTGAAGAGACCATCACTCCTGATGAGCTATTCAATCAATGGGAGAAGAGTATGCATGAGATGTCGGACCGTGTTAAGGAGTTTCCTGGAGCCATAGAGCTTCTGAGTGCGCTGCAAACGCGTGGGATTCCCATCGCTCTGGCTACATCCAATAGCAAGAGTGTCGTGGAGTCGAAAATGACGCATCATCCCAAGCTTTTCTCCTTCTTTTCTACTATTGTATGTGGTGACGACCCTGCTGTAAAACGTGGCAAGCCAGCACCTGATATCTTTCGCACTGCTGGTCAACGCCTTTTTGGTCTAAAGGAGGGAGAAGATGGTGAGAAGCCCCCGTGCTGCGTCGTGTTTGAAGACTCGGTGAATGGCTATACTGCTGCTAAAGCAGCGAAGATGCACAGTGTTGCTATTCCTGACATTCGTATTCATACGGATGACAAACAGAGAGCTGAGCTCTTTGGCGATGCTGATGAAGTGATCACGTCGATTACACAGTTTCAGATCGACAAGTATGACTGGCAGGTGTAAGGAATTAGCAGAAGTTGCTAGCTCTTTTGTGCTAGTTGATCGCTCTCGTGACCTGCTAGCGTTTTTATCAATTGTGAACGTTTGTTTAGGTTTTCAATTACTTCATTGCAATACGTTTAGCAAGTGGCTAGACCGAGACACGGTGCAGCGCCGGATATGCTTTCTTGTCGTGTGCCAGAAGCAAATACAGGGACAGAACAGCAATGAGGAAGATACAGAGCTGGGTAAATGTCAAACTTATCACAGTAAGAATATGGCGAGGATTTTGAGTCACAAAACGACAAATGGCAATCACTTTGCGTCATTTCGCAAGAAAGATCAATGATAATCAATTGTCGAGACCATATCAGGTGAACTTGAGTGAGGATGAGTGAAGTTGTTCTAATGGCAATCACAAATCCATAAGTGCAAGCTGCCAATCTGAGAAAAGTGCAAGCTGCCAATCTGAGAAAAGTGCAAGCTGCCAATCTGAGAAAAGTGCAAGCTGCCAATCTGTGAAAAGTGCAAGCTGCCAATCGCAAGCTGCCAATCTGTGAAAAATGCAGCAGTGTCGACTTTTGTGTGCAATGCCTTTCAATTAGGCTTTACGGTACAACTTGACGAGCTCGTTGATTTACAGCACAATACTTATGGTCGGTCTCTTCGGCTACGACTGAAGCATATTACGCTTGCAATCGTTCAATGCTTGCACCTGCTTGCCACCATTGGTGCAATCACTTTCCAAAACGATAGCAGTAGGTGTGTCATAAATACAATGGCACCACTGCTCCATTTCGGGTAGTGTGCTGGTGCTCTTTTGGCCGGCAGAAACATGGCAAGTAATTCATCCGAATCTGCAAACCAGCGCATTGATGTAGCTCTTGACGACAACAAGAAGTCGTGCAGTTTACTTGCAAAACTGAAACAAAGCTGCAAGTTAACGATGACTTATGTGCAACAGAAAAACATGAGCAGAGGACATTTAGAATTCAAATCAGTTTCATCTTCCAAACGTACCCATAGCCAGCTGTTAGAACCAACATCTGTCTCAAGCTATACCAATCGCGACGTCAATCCTGATAGCAACTGGAGAAGGTGTAAAACAACAGGGCAGGTGAGATAACAACATCCGAGCGCTACATGTCGAACAAACACTCGCCGAAAATGTCCATTCGAGATGCATACTGTCCATTGCAAGATGCAAACCGAGCAGCGTGCTGGAAAATACTAGTGCTCTCTAGCGTAATACTCAGGAAACTTTGCAACATGTTCAAACATCTTACACTCTTGTTCCTAATATGTCATATCCAATGAATGAGTATTCTCGCCTGAAACAGATCAAAGGATAAGGACAAAACGCCAAACGTACGAGCATATGCGGCATATTGACGTCATACACATCCTCAAACATCGTTTCCAAAGCAGCCGGCTCCTTCGATTCGGCTTGCTGTAATACAGCAAGGACATTTGTTCGTTCATTATCTTGCATGTGACGATCCTGCTCTTCCGTCAGCCAGCCGCGTTTCTTCAATAGCAAAGAACTGTTTTAGTTTCTTGCGAACCAACAACGGCAGCGGAGCGGTGTTTGCTACCATCATATAACGCTTTGTCCGGTCGACCGAATCACAGGTCTCCTTCCAGTGCTTGATGCCTGCCACAGCACGGTACTGCGTCAAGTCATCTGAAGTGGAGTGGTGACCCTGCCGGTAGGACATAGCCTCGATAAGCACGGGCCGGTTCTCCTTCAAAATGAACTCACGAGCACGCCGAGTAACTTCGTGCACAGCCAAAACGTCATTGCCATCAACGCGCATGACAGGAATCCCGTATCCACTGCCACGTGATGCGATACCGTCGCCACGGAATTGCTCAACAGTTGATGTACTGACAGCAAAACCATTGTTCCGGACAATGAACAAAATAGGGCACTCCTTCGTGGATGCTATGTTTAATGCAGCATGAAAGTCACCCTCACTAGCAGCACCTTCACCAAAATAGCAAACTGCAATGCGGTCTTCCTTCGCCAATTTAAAAGCGTAAGCAGCTCCAGCAGCCTGCAAGTGAATCCGCCACGACAACATACGCATCAGCACTACTCAAACCAAGAACTTTACATCAGTACATGTTGTATGCAATTTCGTACCTGAGGAAGCTGCGTGGCCAATGGTAACGAAATCGTTTGGTGATTAAGGTTGTTAAAGCCGTAGTGCACTGGCATTTGATGACCTTTACCATGTCCGTCTTTATTGCTAAAGCATTGATCAGCAAACTCCTGAAGTGAAAATCCTCGCCACATAATCACACCAGGTTCACGATATTGTGCAAACACCATATCACAAAGACGCAGTGCTGATGCAGTACCAAATGAAATGGCTTCCTCGCCGTGCGACGTCATGTAGAATGAAACACGTCCTTGACGCTGCGCATCGTAAAAAATATTGTCCATTGTCTACCACATTATTGCAATACAACGTTTGTAACAATAACTTTTCTTTCAAAAGTCAGGACAAAAAACTACAATATCGTACGTTTAATCGACTCATTTGACTGTAAATTTGCGTGCATAAATCTTGACTTTGATGTGGGTCCTTGGCTCCATCAATAATATCTCCATCTTCATTTAAAACTATTACAACAACAATAATCACACAACTATGTTACTTTCCTATTATTGGCAATTGTTGCAATGCTTTTAATCCAAAATTTGTCACTTTAGGACGAAAACACGGAAGAATGTCGCTCTCTTTTGGATCTTGAAACACGATATTAGCCACAAATGGCATCTTAGTACCTGGGAAATAGCCAAGTCTGATGGATGACAGACAACGGACGGAACGATGAACGACAGACTACGGACGGAACGATGAACAAAAATGAATGAAGCTACGGCGGAGAGAGAATCCGGTCGAGAACATGAGGACAAATTGTAAGATAAGACGACTTTGTTGTTGTAATATTGACGTTAATATTTGTTACTTCTATCAAATGTTTCATCGTATCATTATGTAAGAGTGAATGTTTGAATTACTTCTTTTTAAATAGCAAAAAGGATTACATACAATCTGACACTGTATGAAATTGTAATATTTCACTAAAGCAAATAAAGTACAAGCGACGAGACAACCATCGTAAGTTGAAGTTTATACATAACATTCTGATTGGGTCCATCGAATTTAAGTGAAATGATTCGCTCACACTAGCACCAATTCACGCCACAACTTAATTTGACCAATTAACAACAATGTCCTTTGTCTTATTGCAACAGATGTACATTTCTCACAGCTTTCCAATCCTCGCGTTGTTTTTATGATACGTTTTCTCTGTCTACAGCTGGCATATAGAGCTCTATGTTCCACGCCGGCATATAGAGCTCTATGTTTCACGCTCTCTAATCTTTGCTGTCGGGCCTTGTATCATCCGTAGTTCTCTGTCCCTCGACAAGCAGCATCATTTATATTCAAGTTGAGACCATGAAGACACCTCTTCCGTTGAAACGGCGTTGTTAGCTTGCCATCTCGGATGACGGTGAAGGAAACAAGCCGTGGCTATGGATACCTGTGCAGATAGCAGTCACGCTTTCTACAACAATTTTTTAGGTTTAGTGAAGCCATTAGACCAAAGACTGCTGCATCAAAAGCGTGGAGCTGTCAAAAGAGCCCTAGAGATAGTGGTCTATCCAATCTCTTCGTGAGCAGCAACTACCTGCTGAGTCTCCTCATCTTCCTTGTTTGTTGTAAATGTTCTCGGCCATCAGCCAAACTTACAGGACATTGTCCTCTGCCACCGAAGCCACCATCCACGGGTCGTTTGGATTCCACGAAAAGTCGGAACTCTTGAAAGTATGACCGCCGTGATAAAGCAGCAGCTCTCTGAGGGACCATCTTCAGCGTCTTGCTTATCACCAATCTTTCGGCAAAATATGGCATAATGCAGTCACACAAGACCGGTTGTAAGACTGATTAATACTATAAACTTACCTTGTTGAGGTCCCCACACGTGCGTTTGGCGATCAGCCGAGCAAGAGCCCAAAATAGTCTCGTTGAGTGGCGACCACTGGATCTGGTACACTTCATCGTTGTGACCCTCAAACGAGTGCAGCTTGGCCGTCATGTTACGTATATTCCAAAGGTTGTCGTGCTTGTCACCAAGTAATCACTGAAAGGACTGAAAGCCAAACTATCGACACCAGCCGTGTTGGGTAGATACGGTCGTTGCCGGCTTGTCGTAGCTCTCCGGGCGCATGCCCCAGCTACAATCGTCAAATTGATGAATCCATCATCAATGAATACATCAAATGTAGAAGATACGTTTTCACACACGTGGTCGCACTTCATCTCCGAGCTTTCTAAGACAGGCTCTCTACACACCCTTCTTGCGCAGCTGATAGAAATGTACAAACTTTGTTTTCATCTTCTGGTGTTTCATCTTGTCCTTCTTGGCCTTCTCCATACAAGCGTCAGTCTCCTCGTTCAGCAGAGTAGCCTCAATCTCCACAGACGTCCGTTCCTTCACCAATCCAGTAATTTCGTCGCGAGAAACGGGCACGGAAACACCTATACGCTTTTTCAAACTTGCTACTGATTTGCCAGTACCTATAGTAAGCAAACAAATGAAATAATTGGTAACATATTGCAATAGCTGAGAAGAACTGTCCAGCTGTCCGCACCTTGACCAGCAATGGCCTTCTTGAGATTTTCTTGGATTTTTGCCTCCTGAATTGCCTGGTGTGGTACACCAATGCGCTTGCGCAACTCTGTGCGGAACTTTCGCTTGATCTTGGAGCGCGGACTCTTTGCCATTGTGTTGTCTTTGAGCTGGCACAGACGACACTTCCTGCGAAACTATTGACAACACTCGAGTTTGAATGGTAGAGACAGCTTTGGGCCAACCAACCTTACGATAGGCTGAAATAAACAACAAGAGACGATATGATTTGTTACAATAGAGCAAGGCGTGACGTGATAATCATCAAATGAAACTGGGTGAAAGAAAGACCCCAGAGCATCGTTTGTTTGAGCTACTACTACTCGTCACTTTGTCTAATTGCATGTTCAGCGGCCACTTTGCAAGACAACTTGCCTTGACTTTGAACTGTCTATGAGTCATCAAGAGTCAAATTTACGAGCCATGTCGGTGTATGTTGTTGCTTTGGGCCTCACTTTACGGCCTATTATTTCAACTCAACACTTGATAGCTTCAACACAATCTGTGCTTGAAATGGGAAAACCATACCCTTAGCTACTGTAAACGCTCTTGTAGTCTATTATAGATCGGCTCAATGCTGTCAGCAGTAGTAGTAATTAGATCACTTGACATGGCAATACAATTGGATAAACACTGGGCGTTCGGGTCGTAGTTGCCGAGTTCGTTTCGATTGAGCTAAATTGAACTGCATCACTTGTCACTCCTGCAACTGAGGGTGTAGCTTGAGTATGAAGCCTCGATGTACCTTATCATCAAGGTTGTGCAAACCACTTGGTTTAAGTCACGCAGCATTAATTGTTCGAGAAAGGGAACAATAGTTTGCAAATGTGTAGACAAGCGTGACAGCACCTTTTTTCCTTTGCAGTCTGAATATCGACGCCTTCTCATGTAAGTCGTCGGACACTTTAGACAAGCCTCTGCATCCAACCTAATACTTGTCACACGGGACATGACAACTTGAAGCTGATAAACTTGAGCACTGACAGAATATCGTGATGGAGAAAGATCATTGTGTTTGGAACGAATGTGCTGTCACTATCATGAAATTGTGCTATTCTATCGTTTTAGCGCAGATATTGGTAAACCAACCGAAAAAGCAGAAACATCATCGCATAAATAGATAATTAACATGTACAGTGGCGTTTGCTTCGTGCGCCAGCAGGGAGCAGTCCTAATACATCGCGCCTGAACTATCTAATCAAACAGAAAAGCGGTGTTATATACTCAGCGCTCTGCTCTATCTACATTCCAATGAATTCGGTTTCTGGTCCGGCCAGAAAATGTTCGGGATGTCAGCAATCAAAATACAAGGTAGCTTACAAATTTGTGGAAAATAATGAGGCACCAGTCAAATTCGTAAGATGCATTCGGTCAACAATGCGTCGCAGTGTGGCATCCAAATAGTCTGATCCCCTTGGCTTGCAGACGTCATTAAATTGTGCGTTATCTGCTATCGACACAAGTCTACACCACTCCGTCAAGTCTCTTATGTTTTTTCTTTCTTGCATAAATATGCCCTTGTGTCGATAGCAAACAGTGCACGATATGCTTACTTTAATGATAATTTGCGAGGTGTTCAGTCACTTCAGCTACTACATGCTAGGCCAATATTCCGCTTATTTCAAATGAATTAGTCTTCATTGACACAACATAACAAATGAAAACACGATGTGTAAAGGAACTGCGTCTTTGTTATTGTAAAAGCAATTCTACATATACGTACATACACGGTCCACTCAGTTCTATACCGACAAGTACAGATATACCGTATTAGAATTATGGGCCAAGGTGGCCAGATCAGGCTGACCAAATCCTTATCGGAGTGAATCAGCTTAAAGCAGTTGCTAGCTACGTTTTGAATGGAACGGTAAGTGGTTTAACTTTTGCATCGGATCAACGTTTTTTTCATTTTGCAATTGTCATTGTAGTTTTAACAGCAACTAAGAGTCCGTCAAACACCGTCGTCAATGAAAGTTTATCAGACCCTGCTGCTCGCTGGTGCCTATCTCATTACAAGAAATGAAGCAGTCTCGACCGCAAGTCACGCAGACCCGTTGAAAGGAGACAAAGCTGATAATGTTCAGCTGGACACTGAAGATTGTCATAGGTTCCTACGTTAAAACTTGTCCTAAAAAGAATTGGCGGCTTTTTTTACCAAATGGCTGTTTTCTAATGGTCAAAATGCTAAAGTAGTGCCAAGCAATCCGGAAACTTTTGTTCAAAGGATGAGGAGAATACGGCGAGAAATTAAGCAATCAAGTAACTGAGGTACAAATATTACTGGAGAAGAATGAAAGACATCTAAAGAAAGGTCGTGAAAAGTAATGGCGAAAGTTCGAAGAATCAATCCAATCCGGTGGCAAGAAATTCAGAACAAACCCAAGAAGGCTTTTGATATATTCAAGAAGAGAGTTGCAGAAGAAACGAAGCTAGAGTAACGAAACGATGCAGCGGTGAACCTGGCATAACCCACCATCTCTTGATCGAGATTCCCACGAGACCCTCGCGGACTCGACATTAAGCTGCGACAGTCCTACGTCTTGATTAAAGCGTCAAAGATGCCATTCATAGCATTGCTTCCAACGCGGGATTTAGCGCTATCTTTAATTCATGTGCGTTAACAACATTGTCTAAAAGACCAGAACAACTGATCTGGCTTACAGAGCTAATCGTGCCTCTGTAGAACGGGGAGTATATTGTACATACACACCTCCACACCAATGTGGTGTGGCTGTACCTTAGGTACAAAAGTAGGTGATGTGACCGTACCTGAAGTACGAAGGGTCGCATCGTGGCAGAGAGCTACGTGGTCAATATACTTATTGAAAGTATAGTGACTATGCATGTTTGCATAACAATAATAGGCTATAGAGCCAGTAAATAAGGACTAGCACTAAGTATTGAGTAAGTGCTTCTATATTTAGTGTTGGAAGATAAACATAAATAGAAATCAGTTTCAAACATGCTCTATAAGCATCACTGCATAAGCGTACTATTCATCCTGAGGAATTGAATCTTTGGTACTAGTCTCTTGGAGACCCGGTTGTGACAACCGATAGGCACAAGCTTGCGAGCTAGGCTAGGAAGGGTTAAGCACCCTAAGACGTAAAAGCTCTCTGAGCTTGTCTTCCTCTGCACGTAGAGCATCTGCACATAGTGCATTAGTAGCGTAGCTACAGTAGCTCGGCTACACCTGGTAGCACTTATAGTCAATCACGCACCTGGGTTTGCGACTACTTCATTGAGTGAGAATGGACATCGATGACATGTCAGCGGTTGGCCTGTTCACAGGCGCAACAGGAAGGGTTGCAGAAGCTGCTCCCTATCCTTGGCCCTAAGGGCGTGATGTACCTCATCGCCCAGGGCGAAGAAGAGATTAACAAGCGTATTCATATGCTTCGATAATATTACAACGCTCTAGTCGAGCATGTAAAGGAACAGATGCCTTCTTCTGCGCCTTTGCCCATGGCGACTATGGCGCAAGAAGTGGTCCGCAGACCGAAACCCATACAAATGGAAGTCGATAAGTTCGACGGCAAAGAAGGTGATAACCTTATGCTTTGGTTCCGACAGGCTGAGTTGGCTATGTTTATAGCCGACATCACCTATGAACCGTACCGTGTGGGCCTTGCCACGGGCAAGTTAGGTAGCTTCATCAAACAGTGTGCATTCACATGTGGTGCATCATTGCAAGATGCTTTTCCCACATGGACCGATCTGAAAGTTCAGATGACCCAGCAGTATGCACCGCCAAACCAAATACACCGTAATCGGTAGCGGTTTTTGGCGTGTCGCCAAGGCAAGCGTGATCTTGTGGCATATGTACAAGAGTTGAGAACTTTCATCGCTGCCATGGTCATAGACCCTATGCTTGAGGCAGTGACCGTCACGGACTTCATGGAGGGCCTCCGAGTTGGCGTTGCCAGAACGGAAGTCTTCCGGTTAAGCCCGTCATCATTCGAGGAACCTGTTGGAGTGGTATGGAATGCCGAGACCAACTTTAAGGCTGCTAGGCCTGCCACTTATAACTACTCGTCTGATGAGTCTGTACCCATGGACTGTAGTCAAGTGAAGGATGAAGAAGCGGATCTTCAAGCTGCGGAGCAGCAAAGTGTCCGCAGATGTTATATCTGCAATAGCACAGGCCATTTTATGGCAAAATGCTCTGCAAGAAAGGCATAGTTAGCCTCGAAGGGCCGACGCCCCATGGGTAAACCTTCTGGTTTGACGCAGGGAAACGGCGGAGCCCAGTAGGCGTGGGGCGCCCTAATGGGGAAGAACTGAGTTCTAGGAGGTAGAAGTAAACAGGACCCAGCCCCAAAGAGATCCGAACTCTCAAAAACGGAACAAGAATGCAAGCCAGGCTTGCTACAGGCTTGTCGTCGAAGGGACGGTTAAGGAATTTG